CCCCCCCCCCCCCCACACACGCACACACTTGAGTATCGATAACTAGGGCTGCAGAAGCACTGGTTGATTATGGAAATAGGCTGAAACTTTCAGCCTGAAAGGATAGAACAAAAGAAATGGAATACCGAGGGAAGTACCACAACAGCACTGGAGGAGCTTGTGATCTCAACTGTATCAGAAATGGACTCTGACCCCACCAATGACTCTGCTACTTTTTCACCGGCCATCCATTATACGGAGAAAAAAAGCTAGCTTCTCCTGCTCGCCGTTCACCTCCGCCGCCTCCACCTTCATGTCCCCCTTCTCGTCCACCACCACCACCACTACCTGGACTTTCTGAGATCCCTCTCTCCCTCTTTTAATCCTTTGTCATTTTAGTCTCACTTGATTTCTTCCTTTCCGCTGCCCGTGTGGAAGTACCAAAAATGCTCGCCAGTGAAGCACACACACCTCTGCGAAATCACGCTTCAAGGCAACAACTCTGCCAATCATGACAGATATACGCAAAATAGTTATGGCCCTGCTCAGCATTGCAGACAAATTCCAGTTTACTTGACCAGCTAGCTGCACAGAATAAAAACAAGCAAACAAATGAAACGTCCCGTCACAGGACATTGAAACTTCAGTTACTTGACAATGAAACTTCCACTTAAATGTCAATGAACTTTCTTTTTTTTTTTTTTTTTCAATCTGGGGGGGGCTGCTAGTGGGGGTGATAAGAGCATCCCCCACTAGTAGGCCCGGCCCAAGATGATCCGCTCTATTGGTGGGGAGCGGCACCTGCTGGAAAGCGGGCCCAGCATCCCACTGCACAATCAATCAACTCTTTCCCCGGGCCCATTACCCGGTTTCGGCTTTTGCTCGTCCCCCTTTGGTGGGGAGCGGCACCTGCTGGAAAGCGGGTCCAGCATCCCAATGCACAATCAATCAACTCTTTCCCCGGGCCCATTACCCAGTTTTGGTTTTTGCTCGTCCCCCTCATGCAAATTGTAAACATCCTATGACAGCAGCGCGGCCTCTCCATCCTTCTTTGGCTGCCAGATGGGCAGAAGTATAGTTGGCTGCACTCTGACACCCTTGATCCTTCTCAACTGTCGCCGCGGTACCACTGCAGATCCACCATTAACTGCTGGTGGGGAGGGAAGAGGTCTGGAAATCCCGAATGGGGCCGAAGCGGTACATCTGGGCTAATCTTGGTCCAATCTTTGAAGATAAGCCTGTAGTCTCTTCTGGTCACTTGATCGTGTGGTTGGTCTCTTCCCCCACCAGTATATGCTAGCAATCCAGCCCCCTTGGTGACCCCCCAACCATTCTTTTGAGAATCTTTAGATTGTTTGTTGAACGTCTTTTCTGGTGTGATAAAGATCCAGTTGTGACTTCACCTTTGACCATTGCTCAGTGAGCCTGAGTGAGGTCTGTCTGTAATTGTTGCTTTATCATTTTGGCGAATTCCTCGCCATCCAGCCGTGCCCCCTCGAGGACATATATTGTCACACAAGGAAAGCCAATACGGCTACGCCCGCTCAATTCCGATTAATCATCCCAGGCCTATAGTGTAGGCAACTGCCCAATGCACTCTCTCTCTCTCTCTCTCTCTCTCTCTCTCTCTCTCTCTCTCTCTCTCTCTCTCTCTCTCTCTCTCTCTCTCTCTCTCTCTCTC